TTGACCCTCGCTGGAAGGGCGGGTAACCGAGCCTTGGTTGACAGATCTGGCCCAGCCGTGGCTGAACATTTGCATACCGGCGCGCAATAACCAAGCCCCAACCAGCGGTGGCCCGGGGCTTGGTCATTGGGCTCCAGCCGTTACTGTAATTGTAAGGGTTAAGTTGGAAGGGTGAGATGATGAGAATGGAATCATAGGAGTGGAATCATGAGGGTAAAATTTTAAGGGTGTAATCGTAAAAATAAAATGATGGCATTGTAGGTATTGAAATAACATGTTATTTGCAAATTATCAAAAGAAGAATCGTGATTCAAAATTAATTATCATTGTTATAATTATTATTAGGATTAATAGTTATTGTTATTGTTATTCATTATTGAATTAATTTACCGATTAAACTCTAGTTGAATCACTTAATATCTCTATCAACTGAATAATAAAACGTTCAAGTCGAAAAAAATGGAAGTGGAATTAATATGGACGATTTGAAGTAAAGATTTCACGAATTGCGCGGTAGGCTAGTGGTTAGGGCGTCGGATTAGTAGTCGTGAGGCCATGGGTTCGAGCCCACATTAGGGTAATATTTTAAGTTGACAAAACCGGTTTTTCAGCGATGATTGTGTTAGGATTTGGTAGGTAGGACACAATTAATACTAAAAATCATCATAAAAAAAGTTAATTGTTTCAACTTTTTAAAACAGTTAACAACAAGTTAAGTGTTTTTGTTATTATTGATAACTGTCATGAATAGTTTGGCAACTACTCCGGCGCCAATCACATGCCGGTATTGATTTTTTTCTCTCCTTGAATCTGTTACGAATGCTCAGGAGTAAGATTGAATTACTTGCATTTCACTCACTGATATCATATTCATGTAATTAAGTAATGTTTAATTGAGCCTGGCCAACTACTGGCAACCAACGTTGGGCCGAGATCGGTGCCCAGGCCTGGCCCCATGTTATCATCCCAGATTTCAACCAAATTCGGCGCGGTCCCGGCTGAGTCCCAGGTGGGAATTGACCATTGGTTCAAGCTTGAACCAAGCTTGGACCAAGACTAGCCTAGCTTGGCTCAAGCTCGTATTCCAAGGTTGAACCAACCTTGGCTAATCCTTGATTTGTAACAGTAGTCCAAGCTTGGATGTCAAGCTTGATCCAAGCCTGGTGATTTAGATTGGTCCAAGCCACCCATTTAGCTTGGGCCAATATCGGATAGTCAATAAATCAAAACTTGGTATTAAATTTTCATATTGATTAATTTTTTAAACCTTGCATAAATTAATCGTTGGAAAAAAAGGAAAATAGTGACATCATCAACTTAGTAGAACGAAAATGGGAAAAAAAGGAAAAAACGGATCGGTCCATCGCTTTTCAAGATATTTGATGTCCGTGTTCCCAATCGGTCACCCATTCTTGTAGTGCCCCGACTCGCTACTGCTTAGCTCAGTGATTGCAGAATATCCCGGTATGCTTCTGAGCTGTGCAGCTAATTGTGCAACAATGAATTATTTTCGGGTTGATGAGGGCATTTGAGAAAAGGAAGACAGAGATACAGGGTGTTCCATAGTATGTGACAAAAGTAAATTGCGTTGTATACCGCAAGGTGACAGCGCAGTCTAAAATCTAATATATGGTTGAAGTGGAGACTCTCCGCAAATTTCATCCATTCTTCAGTCGCTCGCGAATTAGAACACTAAAATGGAAAACCTAACCATTGAACAAAAAACATTCCTTATCAAATCATATTACCGAAGAGGAGATTCAACTATTGCAGCAATAAGAGCATTTCATTCTAAGTATGGCACACACACTGGAGTGTCTGATTCGAGTCTCAGACGGTAAATAGAGTGAATGAACTAGATAACCAAAATTTTTTTTCTTTTTTTTTTTTGAAGATTTACGCATTTTTCGACCAATTCATAGGTATTTTCTGGTTAATTGAGAAATTTGATCAATACGGTACACTAGACGATAGGAGGCATGAGAATCTTGGCCCTTCACCTACTGTAACCACAGATGAGGTTATCCGCACAACTGAAGAACATTTCAAAAAATATCCAAATGATACTCTTCGGAAGGCTTCCCAAACCTTGAAAGTCTCGAGAACTTCACTTCACCGTATCTTAAAAGTGTTTTTAAACTTCCATCCCTACAAAATTTCTGTACATCAATTTTTAACTGAAGAAGCGATAGTTCGTCCTGTGTAATTTTGTCCTTTACAATCTTTTTGAATCCAAGGGGATGGAGGCACAGAATATCATCTTCTCTGACGAAGCACATTTCTACTTAGGTGGCTTGGTAAATAAACAAAATTTTCGCTTTTGGGGGACTGAGTCACATCACGTCGTTGGAACCAAGTCCTCACACTCGAAAAAAGTTACTGCATGGGCGGCAGTTACCATAAAGGGTGTTTTCCTTGAATTCCTCGAGAGTCGGACAATTAATACCCATCCAAAGTTAGCCACTCATTACCATAATTATTGATTTTTGACGAATGCAATCGATAGTTCGTCAATTGTTCTTGATTGTTCGAGGATTTTCAGCGTTTGTTCCCCAGCCAATTATTTCTAATTGATTTTTTATTTTTTCCTCCCATGTTTCCTCAATTTAGCCCCTCCCACGTAAAGATCTAATCATTTTAAATTGTTCCTTCTGATGAATCGTTTGTTCGTCGTTTGTTCCTCCCTAAGACACTGCTGAGGTAATCGATAGGTTGATCCTTTCAATTGATTTCCTCTCAATCGTTAAAAGAGTGGCATATACTATAGCACCAAATTTTACTACCAGCAGCTATAGTTCGTGATACGCTGATGCTGTATGTATGTACATGGAGTATCATTTCGGAGCAGAGATCTTCAACTTTGTGTGATAAATCAATCTATCGATTGTTCCATTAATGTAATCATACTGTTCCCTAATTTATCATCACCAATTATTATTGGTGATTATACTTTATTCCCCCTCTGTGAGCTCGAACTAGTGGTATTTCGATGATCAAAAAGTGCATCAGTGTTGACATTAACCTCAATCCAGTGCGGTAGTAGTGCATGACGATTCAATAAACTAAATAAAATTTCGGGAAGGGTCTGGTGAACAGTCGAAAAATCATCCCTTTTTGCATTCAACTTCTAACAAGCAGCTGTTTTATGAGTAAGCATTGATTTTACACTTTTTAGCTTCGGTTTGACTCTCTAAACTTTGAATGCTTTTTTTTCTCTCATTTCCAGACTATCGAACTTCCTGTAACAATGGGTATTTTTCTGGATGTGGCTCTCGAATTATTATTTGGAACGTGGTTGGAGAAGAGGAATGAAAAACACGAAAAATGCATCATGAAACATTGAAAGACTCGGGGAGTTTGAAAAGCATATAATTTATTTATGTAAAACCGGTTCACTTCGCTCCGAATTCAATGAAATAATACTTGGAAACCTATCTGTT